GGGAAGACCACCGCTGCGCACGCGGCTCGCGACCACTGTAATATGAACGCAAGGCTTTTGCACAGGACCTTTATTTGTGTAGCACAAGGGATTTTTTAAATTAAGACACTAAAATGACGGTGTTTTATTCGGCGATTTTAAAAATGGACCCCATTTCCCAGTTGTGTTTTATGTAGCTTAAATTCTAAGTAAAGTGTCCGTTGATTAATTATATAATTTTAATTCTAGTGGTGTTATTTTTTGGAATAAATAAACCTAACATCACTCATTATGCATCATTAAGTATTGACATACATATGTAGGTGCTTACTTCCGTAACACCTAGATGCTTTTCGCCAACCTATTTCAACAATATAAATTTTTTATTTATTTTATACCACGAATAGTTTACCGCCTTTATTGTTAAAGTACTCGATCAATATATTAAAATAAAATTGAATTCGCGATACCGTTCCCCAGCACACTAATAAAGACCCGTACGACTTTTTTTAAACTTTATTTCCATCGCGTTGTGCCTCCAAAATTGAGTTGTACGGCTTTCGCGGACTTTTTTTGTATTTTTTTCGACTTTTTTCAACTCCCCGGCGGTCGTCGGTAATCACTTGTATGTTTATTTATTTATTAACCGACTTGGAAGACATGGTGTGATGATTTTGACGATGTCGGAGCAGAATCTTATTTTTAAATATTTGTTTTATTATTAATGGGATTGTCTTAAATTATTGTTAGTTTTGTTTGAAATTTGATGATGTCAGTGATCAAGAATGTCAATTATGTTTACATTTAAACACCACCTCTTATAAAAAAAAATTGGCTAGACGAAACCCACATTCTTAAGCCTTTTGATACAAAAAGGAGATTCTCAATTCGACGTGTATACGTACCTACTTATATTTTTCTAAAGTCTTATATTCAATCCTACCTTCACAATCATTGATAGTTGTTATTCTGATAATCTCACGAGGCGTCTCATTTATCCTCATAATATAAAACTCCCAAATAAATCCCATTTCTCTATCTGCCGGTCTAAATGAAAGGCTTGAGACAGTTGCCTTCATGAATAACGGCAAAGCTAAATTATATCGAAGCAGATAAAAAAATTACACCGACTTATCACCGTAACAGTACTGCGATGTTGGTGGCATTCGAAGCTTTTTTTTCTCTCCCAAACACCATGTACTGGGGTGAAGAGAAGTGATTTGCAAATTTTAAGAAAATGCATTTTTAAGTAAGAGAACCCCTTCCCCGTATATTTTCCTGAATCTTTTATCGGCAAAGTGGAAACTTGTCCAACAAATATTGATAGTGAAATTCGACAATCAAACAACAAATTATTTTGTATCCCATGCAAGTCAATCAGCAGCAAAGACAGAGAATAGTGCCAATGAAAAAGTTATATTCCATTCAAGATTAGGTAAAGGTACATTTACAGTCCTTTTTTCTCGATCAACAATTCAACAGAATACTGCACCGGTTCTGAGAATAAGGCGCTGTAATAACTAGAATAAATGTATGTTCATAGGAGTACCCCAGGGTACTTTTCTTGGCCCTTTGCTTTAAAAGCCTGAATGTGGAACCATACACCTGGTGGTGTTTGGAACACGCAATATATTTCGCGAACACTTGTGTACACGTAAGTACATTATCGGCAAGGTAAAAAGTGGCGGGTAGACATGCTCCCTCCCCGCACTAAGGCAATAAATCATATGTGTAGTTAATTATTTTGATTAAAAGAGAGGGCGCAGTGAAATTGTACCGCCCGATATCTGGGCCACATACCTTACTCACAAATATTTTAAGGGCAAGATTCTTGCTCTTGGTTTTTGGTGTTTATTGTAAGAATGTTTGGCATCGAAAGAAAGATGAGCTGGACTTAACGATGGGTTTAATCGTTTGTGTTAGTTCGAGGTACCTACTCGATACTCTACAGCAGGTCAAGTCATGAGTTAGGTATGTATCTCTTCTGTATGTAACGTCAGCTACCACCACATTTGTGTGCCGACAGCTTCCGTTACAATTTGATGTAGGTATTCACAGAAATACAAAATACCTTGTAGGATAATCTAACTGAATATCAAAATCGCAATATCGGGAGAGTTTCATATAGAAATCCAAGACTGGCCACACAGGCGTGACAGCCATCCTATACCTCATTACGCATATAATCTCCCATACAAAAATTTGAAGTCATTAAACACGAAAATAGCGTTATACCACTATAACACAGTAGGTACATCGTTAACGGCTGACCCGATTCGCTATACCGAGGTAGGAGCGTTGTAAATAGAACAACATCCACCTGTATTGTGCTTTGTTGTCAAAATATGGTTCTTTATAAGCTGCCTTTTTGTTTGTTGATGGTAAGAGATTGTATTGACAGCGCAATTGCCAATAGCTTTTACAGGCGTCTTTATCGCTTGTAGGGAGATAAAGAAAATCGTCTTGATTTGTTTTATGTGTAATCAAAGAGCCGATGTTGTGCATATTTTGTAATTACGTTTAGATATTAAAAACTATAGACCAAAATAATAACTGCATTTAGAATAGGTCGATATCGTCTAAGTTCTTAGTTGCGAAGAGCTTGGAGTAAAAAGGTATTCCTGTACCAAATTAAACTAACAAACTAAGGTACCATGACCGTTTTGACCAACCACTTCTAAATCATTTCTTAACTAAAAGTCACTTAACGTGAGGGAGCACCTAAAGTAACTTCTTACTTGTAATGTGGTACATGTGTGTTAGCTTAGGGGTTTCTTAAAATTTAACAGAGGTATAAAAACCGGTATTTTAATAAACCTAAAAATTCACTATGCTTTTTTTATTGTAAAGCTTTTTTTATATTACCTTAAGTAACTTCTGAAATACTAACATTAACTTATGCTTAAGAAACGCATAAGTTAGCAGCGAATTGTACCGAAAGCTAAAATCCATAAATGTGTACCCACTTTTTCTGGCAACCATTCAGTGATACCTAATCCTTGTCTATAGCCGCCGCACTTAGATCAACACACTAACCTGACGATAGTCTGACTAATATAACATGTCTCAAAAATCTAGGACGTCATCTAAATATAACGCTTACGATCAAAGGGTATTACGCGGATGCGGAAGACTATTGCATATAGATATTTTATCGAGTCGACAACGTAACGGGCCATTAGTGTTTTGGGGTTCTGTCTGTGCGATAAAAAGTAAACTCGCGTTTTGTTGATCAAACATGTTGTGAGCCTTGTTGATTCAATGGTTGCAAGTGCGAGTGCCTAACGAGAGGTTACAGGCTGTATTTTTCGGTACTAAGTGTATAGTACCTACGTACCCACTTTTTCGTTAGGTTGACATCTGAATATTAATTAGGTACCTCTCTGGTGGCGAACGGTTAAGTAAGCAATCGACTGAACTTGTTACTTTATCTATTCCAGGTTACCATAATAGTAAGTACTAGGTAACGTGTTATTTGGTATTTTGATGGTTTTTCATTATAATTTTATCAATTGTTTCTTATTAGATGCTTCCGAATCTTTATGGGTATCTAAAATATAATTATATTTAAATATAAATCTTAACATCTAACAAGGAATGTGCAGAGATATTCAAATCAGAACCATTTAACTTCGAACAGAATCGCGCCTGCCTCTTTCCGATTCAGATCGTATATTTTTATTGTTAGTAACTAACTTAGTAAATATTATGATAGCGGGAGATAAAGCTTGGAGAAACAAGAGATAGTGTGAGGATTATCCAAGTATCTAAGAAAACATTCGCATAGGTACCTACTATATGTTTTGTAAAAAAAGAAAAGAATACTTTACGAATAGGCAAAATAATTAAAGAAATACCGACACAACAAAGGTAGGTAAGTAATAATAATAACAAAGTCAAAAGCATGGACGGGAGTGTCCCTACAAAACTTTATACTGCAATTAAATTTTGAATACAAGATAGTTGAATAACCAACCAATGATGTTACCAGGCGAGATGGTAATGGTTACCAAACATCTACCTAGTATGAAAAAAATGTTTTTATTTTGAAAGTTTGCACTCTTTGTGAGAAATCTTTACGGTGCAGGAAGCAAGTTTTTATGAATCAGGAGTACAGAGGGCGCCTCAGGACGTTCATATAGCAACCCTTACAGCGTAAGTACCAACCAAAACTAACCTATACCTAAGTATAAATTTTGCAATGCAAATATATTTTTATGGCATACATAAGCCGGTAAACGAGCAGACGGATCACCTAATGGTAAGCAATCGGCGTCGCCCATGGACACCTGGAACACCAAAGGCGTTACAAGTGCGTCACCGGCTTTTCGGGGATTAGGAGTTTGAGGATCGTTGGGGATTCAGGGATTGGGGAGATTGGGGAAGGGGAAGGTAATTGGGCCTCCGGTAACCTCACTCACACGACGAAACACAACGCAAGCGTTGCTTCACGTCGGTTTTCTGTGAAGCCGTGGTATCACTCCGGTCGAGCCGGCTCATTCATGCCGAAGCATGGCTCTACCAACGCTTAAAATAGTCCTTATTTTAGACATAAAATCGTTTAATTTGTAGATTTTTCACTTTATGCAGATAAATGTAAACAGTAATACGATTCCTACCCATGGTCACTATTCGAACGAAAATGTCGGTAATCTTAATTTTAGTAAAAAATTGTCCAGCTTTTTCCCTGGACATCTCGAAATACAATCAATTAAACTCCACTTCAAATTGTTCTTTTGCATGTTTAATAAACTTCTAAGCTTTAATCGCTTAAATACCAATTTAAAACTTTTTTAACAAAACATTTTTTAAACTTAAAAAAAAATGTAAATCTTTTTAAAAAAAAAGTTATAAATAACCAATTACATTACAGCTGATGAAATTCAAAGTACTTTCATTGCGTAATTGCCATAGATTCTGGGATATTTTGTTACTTGTTATTATTTTTATTTCATTTTAGTTTTATTTGGCAACACTTTGTCGCTGTCAAATCCAAGATCGTTTGACAATCAACAAACTGTCATAGGAGTTGTCAGTTTGCCACCATGGCGGCCGCAATGCTGTCAAACAAGAATTTGAGCAAATTAATTCGACATCACATTAAATTCGCCAAATCTTTACACAGTAAGACATTAAATATAGTAAACAAGCCACCGTTATACGTAACATGTCAACAATGTGCAGCTGCAAGTCATTACAGGGTAATGTTTTGTGTGGAATAAACCCATATTTATTTGGTTACATTTCTTGTTGTTTTCAAGGGTTTTGTGTGAAGAAATGGTGTTGAATGATCAATTTATTTATTGTAGCATTATTCTTCGTCAAGCCCAAGTCCGCCTGGTGGGCCGGATTCAGCGAAAAATGTGTTGGCAGCGGTGTTGGCAAACAAACCTAAAACGGGAAAAATACCTGTTGGTAAGCATAAATAAATAATATACACATAATTCTATTAAAAATATACATAGGGAGCTCGATGAGAATAAATTTTGTAAATAGTTATATTTAGAAGTTTCGGGAAGTAAAGTTACATAATATTTTTGGTAATGACCTTGTATGGAGTGTTAATTTAATCGTTAGACTACATTGTAACTGTACTTGAATGATAGCACTAAAATTAAACTGATGTTAGCTCTCACACCAGTACCTAGTACAACTACCCACTGATAACAGCTCTAACTACTTATAAGAATCCAACTAGAATTTAGAATTCATAGTAAAAGCATAATTATGAATCAATGATAATAGCCATTTGTCTCATTTTTGTCAATACCAATAAGTCAAATTTAATCTCCAAGTTTGATTAAATGAGACTCAAGTCCTATTTTATGGAAAGTAGATTAGATATTGTATCTCCTGTCTGCCTACTTCTGATAAAGAATTTCAATTCATGCAAAGATCAAGGTTTTGTTTGTTTTCATTCTTCTGTTTGGAATTTTCTATCTTTAAGAAAATAATAAACAAACTCCTTGTAATTGTTTTTCCACTAGGATGCTAGTAGCATTTTTAAAATACATGGTGTAAACAGAACCCTGCCATTAAACAGTCAGGTGACGATAAAAAACAAGTTTTATTTTCATAAAAGTAAAGAATTAAATGTTTCGTTTATTTAATCTAGTTGTAATCAACCGACTGCCGGGCAGGGGTCTCGGGTTTAATTCCCGGGTCATAACAACAACATAGCAACATACTACTGGATTTAAAGAATTTTCAGTAGTAGCATGGAGTCTGGAATCATACCTGATATATTGCAATAGGCTCACCCCCTATTACATGGGACTCAACATAAATAGTGAAAAGTGGGTGTTACATTGTACAGTGGCATAGTGTACACCTCTGCCTACCCCTTCGAGGATAAATGGCGTAATGTTATGTTATTGTAATCAACCGTTTAAGGCTGATGTTACATGAATAACAAGTAAAAAAAAACATTTAAAATTGTAAAAACAATTTGTTTACACCCTGTATGACTATATACAATAATACTGCACCAATATTATTTATAGTGATCATAAATATTTTACTTCAGTGTAAAAATTGATAGTAAAAAAGTAAATTGCAATGTCATGTTAGATAACAGTAACTCATTTGTATCATACCTCCATATAAATGTGTGTCTTTGCTAAAGATTAGGTACCTATAAAAATGTCTATTCATGTTTATTTTATCATTATTTACTCAATTAGGAAGATTGCTCTAGAACAGCGGTTCCCAAAGTTTCCTGGACTACAAACTATTTAAATCAAGTTACCAAAGTCAGAGTTTGGGTCTTTAGCATTTTCTTTCTTTTCTTTTAGGAAATTAAGTTACCAACAGCTTTCATTCTACTAATGGGTCACAACCCATAGTTTGGGAAACCCTGCTCTAGAATAATGTTACATTGTTAATCATTAAGACTAGTGTACAAGTAGGTAGAATGATACTTCCTCTATTATTTCGAACTGTTGTGCATTATCACTGTGAATGTGTGTTCGTTAACAATTCACATAATGCCTGTCCATTCTGCTTTCAGATTAAAATGTGCATTGACTCCTGTTCGCCATTATTTCGTACTTCGTAGTTTGTAGAACTTGCACATTGTTACTTAGCTTAGCAAAACTCTTGCTACTGTTATTTTTGTGTATTTTTTTGTTACTAATACTTGGTTGGAACGCAGCTCTTTGTTTTTCCCCTACATCCTTTTTGTCCTGCATGTGTCCTGCCCGCTTCTCACCTCTCCTTTCACATATAACCTACATGTATCCTGAATCTTCCTCATTATATTCTCCCCTTCCTAGGTATCCAAAAAAGAGACTGCTTTCACCCAGGTGCCTCTGTTTTGTCTCGTGAAGATATAAACCTGGGGGATGCAAAGCCGGTCTCGGGAGTCGATATGATCCGCGGGATGCTGGAATATGTCTGGCCTAAGGTAAGATGTCACATTTATATTATATACATGCTATTACATGGAGCAGCTGTTTCAATGAGTACAAAGTAAAGAAACCTTGAATGTTAATAATTAGTAATGCAAGATTCATTATCATCAGTACTGTATTGTATAGACATGGAAATTATTAGAAATGTTCTTGGTTTAAACAGAAGTATAGTGTGTTCTCATACTCATTGTGAACTGAAAATTTTAAAGAACTTGTATAGCATAATTAGTTTTAGTTGATTTCATTTGATTGATATACTGAACAGTATAGATTGTAGAATACATAAAATGTAACTATTGTGCCATCATTAAAGTCTATAATAACTGTCATATCTTGTTAATGAAAATTTTGAGATAATAGAGAATCATTAAAATATGCATTAGTTATTACTATCAGTGTGTAAAATAGAAATAATTAAAACACATAGTGTCACACATTCATCTAGTTACATTCTCAACAACTTCTTTTCGCTGCCTACCATTTCTAATCACCACTTCAATCACATTACAGGACAACCTGATGATCAGAAGCCGCGTGATGGTCTCCCTGTCCCTGCTGTTTGGTGCCAAGGTGGTGAACGTGTCAGTTCCGTTCATGTTCAAGTACGCCATCGACGAGGTGAATGCAGCGGCTGTGACGCCGGCCGGGGACGCTCTGCTCGGGGTCGCCACTGTACCGCAGGCGGTCGGTACCACGGCCTTCGCGCTGTTGATTGGATGTAAGTAGCGTATAGTCGAGTTACCTTAAAAGAAAAGGTTCCTTTAACTCGTCGAGTACCGGTTTTGTAGACACAATTATAGAACAATAGGTTGCGGTCACCGGTGACCGCTTGCTGTTTGACAGTTTAATAAAACCATTTATCTGGTGATCTCTATTCTTCTTGTGACTGTCAGAAGCGCTGAGGGCTTAGTATTGTTTTACGTTTAAAGTAATCGAAACGAAACCAAGTTCGGGGCTCTGATTGGCTGACTCCAATGAACTAACCAATAAGAGCGCTGAACGTGGTCTCGTTTCGATTCGATTTCGACATAGGTACTCTAATCTCTAACACACCAGTAATTCAGTTAATTATACAAAAAAACTGAATAACGGAAAGGAAACTTCAGAACAAATTATAAACTAGATAAAGCGTGTTTCTTTATTCATAAAATTATTAGAATTAATAATTAAAAAAAACCTGCACCAGACGAGATAGTGGTCAACTTCGGCCCATTAAATATATAAAAAAAGTAAAACGTGGAGATTATAGAAAACTCGTGTAGAGGGACAGGGACAATATAAATTGTCTAATTTGAAGGTATTGTACATCATTATTATTTATTTTTACAGATGGTATAGCTCGTGCGACAGCCGCGGGTTTCAACGAGTTGAGGAACGCTGTGTTCGCGAAGGTGGCCCAGCACTCCATCAGGAAGCTGGCCTGCAACGTCTTCATACATCTACATAACTTGGACCTTAGCTTCCATCTCGGCAGGCAGACTGGAGCTTTATCTAAAGTGAGTTCATAATAAAATTCACACAAATGGAATATATGAATACGTACATATTATTATGTATCCCATGGGGGTAGGCTGACCTGAGACTATGGAACGCCAATTACTACGATTCCTACATACCTTTTTCGCTTCAGTCATCAATCTTTTCATGCATGCTCGTTGGTTAAGGGTACTTCTAATTTGACCCTTCTTTAGTACTAGCTTTCACCCGCGGCTTCGCTCGCGTCACAAAAGGATAAAAAGTTTACCAATACACACAGCGCCATTGGCCATCTATACCAATAATTTCGTTTTCCCTCGAGAATGTCAAATTTTTCTGGGATAAAAAGTACCCTATTATTTAATTCAGACTTCTAACTATACGTCTGCCAAAATTCAAAGCAATCGGTTCAGTAGTTATGGCGTGAAAGCGGAACAAACAAACAAACAAACAAACAAACAAACTCACTTTCCCATTTATAATATTAGTAAGGATATTAGTAAGGATAAGGACATCGCCAATCTGGTCACTATATGTCCGTCTAGGGCGCCTTCTACCGACGGCCCCGAACATATGAACAATTGTAAATGGTCATTCACAATCATAATTAACAAGCTCGTTAATTATGATTAAACTTTTATATTTAACTATCAAATTCTTTTTGTGAACTGGGAAAAAGGAACTTTTCGGAAATATGTTAAAGTTACTTATTTCAAACGAATTGTTTTTCAATTTAAACTGTCAAACACCAAGCGGTCACTGGTGACCGCAACCTATTGTTCTATAATTGTGTCTACAAAACCGGTACTCGACGAGTTAATTATCTATTTCAATCACCGCTACTTATTTTCTGCAGACAATAGACCGTGGTTCCCGCGCCATCAACTTCGTTCTATCGGCGATGGTGTTCAACATAGTGCCGACTATATTTGAGCTCATACTCGTCTCCACCATACTCGGCCTTAAGGGAGGACTGGCTTTTACTGGTAAGCTCTAAGAATAATAATATTATACTGTAATGTACTGTATTTTATTGGTCACTAGCTATTACCCGCGACTTTGTCCGCGTACAATCTATATATATAAAAGAAAGTCGTGTTAGTTACACCACTTATAACTCAAGAACGACAGAATAGATTTGGCTGAAAATTGGTAGGGAGGTAGCTTAGAGCCAGGAGACCGACATAGGATACTTTTTAACCAATACTTTTTTAAATTTTTACCGAAAATCGCGAACGGGGACGGGGAAAAATGGGATTACGCGTACGAAGTCGCGGACGGAAGCTAGTATGAATTACAGGAAATAACTTTTTTTTGATTCATTTTTCTTAAAAAATAAAAGTATCCTATGTTACTCCTTGGTACATCAACTAGATAATTGGCAGATGCCAATTAAAGTTCCATCAAAATCGGTTTAGCCATTCCAGAGATTGGCTACAATTGGTACAAACCGACAGATAGAAGACAGACGAATTATGTAAAAAAATATATTTTGGTATGTGTATTGTATGTACATATATTCATATGCATGTAGTCAACTAACACTAACACCAGAGGAGTTATTAGTACTTTGTCGGCCTTTTGCGTGGAAAAGGGAGGGTAAATTGCGCCTCCAGTAACATCACGCAAACGACGAAACACAACGGAAGCCTTGTTTTACACCGATTTTATGTGACGTCAAAGTATTACTGGTCTATTTGTGCCGAAAAATTGTATTAACATGTATAAATGTAACGGATATACTTAACACATATTGTTAGAAGGATAGTATCAGTCCTAGTAACTAATTGTCTGTCCCCCGCAGGCCTGGCGTGGGGCTGCGTGGGCGTGTACGCGGCCTTCACGCTGGCCATCACCCAGTGGCGGACCAAGTTCCGCGTCTACATGAACAAGGCCGAGAACGAGGCCGGGAACAAGGCCATCGACTCGCTCATCAACTATGAAACTGTTAAGGTAACTAGTAACGAGATCAATTTGTTGTAATTGGTGATTCTACAATAGCTTAGACTGTAAAAATAAATACTTAATAGATTTCTCTACCCTTTATAGTTACCGTTTTTTAAATAAAATTGAAAATGTGATTTTTTACATAACTAGAATGATATAACATCACGCCTTTTATTTCCCGAAGGATAAGGCAAAGCTGAAGTTTACACAAGGCATATATTCAGTCTTATAGTTACTTTTCACAAGTTTTACCATTACATGAAATGTTAAAGTTTTGGAATGTAAATAAAAACTATTTCAAATGAATCTCGTGATATTTAATATTTATTTGGGCCGATTTTTCCAGCGCCAGATAATGTTTAACTGAGAAATAACTTTAAATACAATTCTTTAATACTAAAACCGTCAAATGTCAATTTTATTATAGTTAAGAATTCTTTTCATTCTTTCCAGTACTTCAATAACGAGAAGTATGAGCTAGAGAAGTACGACGTGAGCCTGAAGAAGTACGAGGAAGCGTCTCTAAAGACTGCGTCCAGTCTCGCAGTCCTCAACTTCGGACAACACGCCATCTTCAGCGCGGGACTCAGTATGATCATGATCCTGGCCGCCAATCAGATTGCTGAAGGTAATAAATAAATATTTAGTTCTGTCTGAAGGTTAGTCGACTAGTTCCTAGTCCTGAGTTCCAATTTGTCCAAATACTGACGGTGTCGAAAATTGATTGTCAGGGAACATGACGGTGGGCGACCTGGTGATGGTGAACGGGCTCCTGTTCCAGCTGTCGATCCCGCTGGGCTTCCTGGGCTCCGTCTACCGCGAGGTCCGCCAGGCACTCATCGACATGCAGACCATGTTCACGCTCATGACCGTGCAGTCGAGGATCAAGGTCAATATCATTACTTGCATCATATTACATTTTTTATGGCATAAACCGGTAAATGAGCAGACGGATCACCTGATGGTAAGCAATCGGTGTCGCCCATGGACACCTGGAATACCAAGGCGTTATAGATGCGTTACCGCCCTTTGGGGGATTGGCAATTAGAGGATTGTATTATTCAGAACGTAGTTAGTAAAGTATATATTTTTCTAAAAATCCCAGAATCTGATTATTTCCCTGCACCGTTAAGGATTTTTTCACACATTTTTCGATTTTTGTACTGTATGCAATGAACAAGTACACTAAAGCACAAATAAATAACTACTACACAAAATACGTGGGCATATGGCCCACACCTCAAATGAACCTCATTTAGTTTTGTCGATGTTTCTCAAATTTCTCGAGCAAGCAACAAGTCAAAGAGGAATTTGTTATACTTGGTTAATTTTAAAATTTCATTGGCAAAATATATATTTTTAATTGCAGGAAAAAGAGAAGGCCCCGTCTTTAGTATGCGACGCTAAAACAGCCACGATAGAGTTCAAAGACGTGAGCTTTAAGTATATAAACGGCAAGCCTATATTCAACAACTTGACGTTCTCCATACCTGCCGGAAAGAAGATCGGAATTGTAGGCGGATCTGGTAGCGGGTGAGATCTCTTTCCTAAGATACTATACTTAGTAAAGTTATTTATTGTTTTTGTAGTAAAGAGAATAACACACAGTAGGTACTGCTACTGAACATTTCATATATTGAAAAACCCAATACTTATATCATATTTCAAGTTGATAGTCATATCTGTTGCCATTAGGTCAGTACAGAGTATATGCTTTCCTACCCATTTGGGATGATGCGGACAACCTAACGGGTTACCGGGGCTCCGACTCGACGTATAGAAGAAGGAATGGGGTGGTTTTTAGTCAGTAAGAGTCTGACACTTCCTCCCGCGTCACCCAGGCGGAATGATGATTCATCTGATTTCCCCCCCTTAAAAAAAACCCCATTTGGGATCACAAACTAAGTAAAAATATGTGCCATCGAAAAATATTTGATTATAGAAATTATTTTTGTATGTAATTATGCCGAAGAAGTTTTCAATGCTAAAACCAGAAACATTCTTCGTTTAATTTATCGTGGGTTATGTCTGTTGCAGTAAGTCGACGATGGTGCGGTTATTGTTCCGTTTCTTCGAGCCCCAGTCTGGCACCATCAAGGTGGCCGGACAGAACATTAAGGACCTCGACCTCGCCAGCTTAAGGAAAGCTATTGCAGTTGTACCACAGGTAAATATTTATGATCTTAATCCAACATCTCTAGATCAATCTAGGTTTATGTCAGAAATTCCATAGAACTAATGTCAAATGTCTATCTCAATTAGAACGATTCTTATTAGTTTCGGCAGTTAAACAGTGAGCGGGCCGTCCAATGGGGCCACCGTATTTTTGCTCACCAGATGGCACTAGTGTGAACCCTTCGTGCTTCTTCCAATAGGGAATTAGCTAGTGTTACACTATTGGACGTTCAATATTTGACAGCTGCTGTAATTGGACAAAAGTACCCTTTCCTGAATTTGTGCCATATGGTGAGCAAAAAACGTTAGCCCCCGTTGAAAGTTGTACCTAGTTTTAATGTAAATCAATATATTACAAACTGTATAATTCTCGTTTTACGCTCGTACACATGAGCTTAGTCATCATTCCTCTTCGCGATGTTCTCATCTATAATTCAGCAAACAATGGTCCTTACTTCCAGGACTGCGTTCTGTTCCACGACACAATATTCCACAACCTGCACTACGGGGACCTCACCAAGTCGAAGGAACAAGTCTACCAGGCTAGCAAGATGGCAGAACTACACGAGTCTGTGAAGACATGGCCTAAGGTAACATTACCTCGATTATCGTCATATCAATCACAAAGGGCCAATCCTCCCCCAATACGTTTCAGATCAGAAACCGTTCTACTTCCAATGGCCGAGTGATATAAAAATTAAATTAAATATGCATTAGCTTCCAATACGAGATTTCGTCTTGATATCTTGCAAGTACTTTCTTCTATAGCTGAAGTGACCAACTGGTGAGCCCATGTATGTATATTATCTTCAATGTTCTATATTTACGGCACCCTTCATCCATACTCGGAAATGTTTAATGATGTTTTTTAATGATTATCACTACTTGCCTTAGATATTTTTCATCTTTTGAAGCATTTGTGTATCAGCACATTTGAAACACGGCTTTATGAGGAGTCAATTACATTTTGAAGATATGACAAAATTGTCTATCTTTCCAGGGTTACGACACACAAGTAGGCGAGCGTGGCCTGAAGTTATCTGGCGGAGAGAAGCAGAGAGTGGCCATCGCTCGCGCCATACTCAAGGACTCGCCCATCATCATCTTCGACGAAGCGACCTCCAGTCTGGACTCACTCACTGAACACGTACGTTTATTTTGTCATACTTATACTTACCTAATTTTACCATGAAATTGGCTTGTGATGCGATTTTCATAGCCGATTACAGTGATTATTAAAGAATGTTGTTTGTGCATAATGTGTGAAAGTTTGGAGTGCAGCGAACAAAACTATTGTTTGATCAATTTGTACTTCATAGAACTAATATGTAATGTTTCTTATTTTCCAGGCCATCCTACAAGCTTTGAAGGCAGCGACAGTGGGTCGGACGTCAATCTGTATAGCGCACAGACTGTCGACGGTGGCGGACGCGGACGAGATCCTCGTCATGGAGAATGGAAGTATCACGGAGAGGGGAACTCACTCGCAGTTGGTGGCCAACCCGACCAGTCTGTACTCGCGGCTGTGGCAGCGCCAGAAGGAGTCCCCGCGCGAGGCCCCGGCCGCCCCCCCCGGCCCCCCCGCGCAACCCCCGCGGGGACCAGTCCCCGCCGCCGCCCCCACCACCGCGGCTAGTGCGGCCGCCTCCACGGTACCCGGCGTACCCAAGTGAAACACCCTAGACCAATCCCTAGACAATTTTTATTGAAGACCTTTACCTTTGTGATTATAACTTGAACGTGATGATCACGCTGTTAGATAGCTCGATCGCTGACTATAAAAACGTCTCTCAATTACCTGTGAAGTGCTGGCTTGTTTCCTTTAAATAAATGCCATAAATCTAAGTCTAAATAAAAGAAGTGGGTCGGAAATAAAATTGAATTTCTCTTATTGATGACGATTGGGTTCAGTGCTATGTTTATACCAAATTTATTTTAAGCGCGCCGTCTGAAAGACACTATGGTTTTCTAAAAGTTAAACTAAATAGATATAATTGCATAATATGGAGAAATTTTATTATTTTTGCTTGTAAAAACATAGTTTTTGTTTAGCAAATGTTTAATGTTTAGCCGAACTCTAACGGACTTTCGAATTATAGTTTTGTGACCATCTTATTGTGGCTTACGACACACTGCTTCGATGTACGAGGTTCTTGTGATGTTATTTATTGTGTATATCCAATGACCGTGTGTTCTAAGACCACATGTTCATAAATTTCGAACGCGACTGTCGCAGCTTCGTCCAAAAGTGGCCCTAAAATTATTAGCCTATATCACAGGCAGGGTTAAAACCATGTTTATTAATCTCGATTAAAAATTGAATACATTCTCCATGGTTTTAACTCATATTATTTTTTTATTTGTATTTTTGTCAAATAATATGTAATAGTTAATAATAACATTTAATTTCCTCTTAAATAAGGAGTTAAAAGTAAAATGCATCTAAATGGTTATTGATGTCGAAACTTGTTTTATATTTATTATTTTATTGTATGAGGCCATTTTTGTGACGTCACGTCTCAATCCCAGACCTAGCAAACTGACACGAGACAAAAATAAATAAATATTGAGAATTGTGAAGTGTTTATGTATATAAAAAAGTTGATACGATGTACAGTAAGTGACTTGTTGATTAAGTATATTATTTTGGTTACACTACTTGTGTTTTATTTCATAATAATTATCGTTTTAACTTTTATTTTCTATGTGAAACTTCATGGGCTGAAAAAGTCAGCCTCTGTTGGGCGCAGTTGGGCGTCAATAATTATTTTGATTGCACTTATTTTGATACACAATGAGATGTATCAAAAATCATGCCTTGGTTAACATCATACTTATTATACTCTTTGGTTAACATTATCTTGTATTAATTCGTACTAGGCTGTTACGCTTTCAATATTCAGGTATTTAATACAAAATGTTAGGTCTTTCTTCTCTAAAACCTACGTAGTTGCTGCTAAAGTTGCCTAGAAATGACATAACTTTATTACTGAAGCAAGCCTTGCAGACTTCAACTTTATTGGGGGCTGAAAATAGAACCATAACGTAAGTTCGATCTAGTTCCACCTCATTTGACACACATACGAGTCATCGACACACATCTATAATAGATAATAGAAATCCAAATGGCGCAACCTGCCAGTATCATTACGAATTTCGAACGTATCGATTGACATGTTATCGGTTACCATAGCAACCAGAGTAACAACATTTGGCTGTCGATTGAATTTATTTTAGCAATAAATAATTTGCTCGTTTTTCGAGCGTTTGTTTTGTAAAAAATGGTGTTTTGTATGTGAAAGCGAATGATGTCAGTGCTGAGTCTGATTCCGGAGGATAAACGTAAAGATCAAAGGTAAGTTAGAAATTATTTCCTTCTATTTCAAGTTGGAAGGAAATTGTTTTTGTTCTGTGATTTCCTGTGTTATTGAGACGAGGGTAAGCTATTTATTATGTCAGTGTGGTCTAGAAAAATGCAGTTTTTTAGTGCGTTCTGTGGTTTTGTATAAAAATATGCTGAAGTTTTCTTTAAATACGTATTCTGGAACAAGCTACGTCGTCCAGAATTTACGGAATTGAATTTCTGAACGATTCTTATAATCATATAAATGAACCTGGATACTCACCTCCTATTTACTTACATGGGGATCGGTGACCATTAAGATGTAAATAAACGATAGTGGACATGTGTGTGTTGGGTATTATTCGTACTTATACCTACTTAGTTGAAAGCATAGAACCAGTTAATTACCTATGATAGGTGCATTTAGGAAGGCACATCTACCTATGCCATTGTAGGTACAAATTTTAATACCATGAAACAACGATTAGGTAGGAACCTATCATGTTATCAGTAAGGATACTGAATACCTATCTTTGAACAGATTTTATTGAATCTACAAATCATTAGTAGGTAAATTAAACTTTATTCAGCATTAAATATAAAAAGTTGATGAGAAGCCTATAAATAGGGAAAATATGAAAAGAGTTTTAACATAAAAGTTTTCTTAGTCTACCTAATTGTTGTTTGATAACAAAGGTATCCTTCATAGAAATTACCTATATACATTACATATAGCAGTTCTTTGATGTACTTTTTAATGCTATTTCGCTTAGCGACTACTTATCCTGACCTACAGTTAAAGCTGTTGCGTGTTTGTGCAAATATTTTATTTGGATACCTGCTCATAGCCGTAAAGTCTATCGCAGCGGGTTGTTATCACGCTACGACTGTGGTTTTAGCAGCATAGAACTATTTATTATTTATTACCTATAGATTGCCTCGTTAGTGAACAGCCAGGCTAGGGCATTTTAAATCTGATAGCAAGGAAAGAAGGTTTACTAGAATTCCGAAATTCTCATTGTAATTCGGAGTCTGGACAGTTATTAAAACCTTTGAATGACGTTCTAGAAAAGAATCCCTGGAGAGCGTATACAGCAGTAACTCTCGTCTGAACCTGTTGAACAAGCGCAAGCGTATGAACCCTTTAACGATGGACGCTTCTAACACATCGCTCGGCAAGTCGGGAGATAGATACGTGACGCAGCGGGTGCTGTCCGCCAAGACACACAGGGTGAAGCAGCTGCAGAACCAGCTGTCTGATGCGCATTATCACTTGCAGGTATTGTACTATCATCATCGACCTCATCATTTTATTTCTATTTAGGTACTGATAAAGAGAGTGCTTTTTTCAAAATCAAAACTTTGCCACACAGTTTACAGGGTTGAAGATAGAGCTCTTTATGGTTTGATGAGAGACGAATACAAACATGTTGGTTCTAAAATAAATAATTATTTTCTAGGAACTAAGTAACGAAAACAGAGTGCTACGAGCTATTCAGAAGAAACAAGAAATCGCACTGCAAAGGTAAGATACTACTTATTTATTATATCTACTGCCATTCAAGGTTGTGTTTTGCAACTTAAAGTTTTTACTTATACTTTTGTAAAAGACAATAATCCTGACGACTGACGTAAACTACCTATCATTGAATTTGTTTCTCCCTAAGGCACATTATTCAATCAAGTCTTTTGTAATGTATCCAAACAGATACGAAAACTCAAACGCGGAATTGCCGCAAGTCCTAAACTCTCACAATGAAGAGATGAGGATACAGCAGTCGAAGTACAAACAGCTGAAGCAGCAATATAAGGAGGCTACTATGAAGCTGAAGGAGAGAGACATGCAGCTACAACAACTAAAGGATGAGCACCAGCACCTGCTGGAACTCAGTAAAGATAGGTGAGGGTTGAGGAAGATGGGAGGTACTGGAGATTGGACTTTTGTTACATGGTTTACTATATAGTAATTTAAACTGCCATGTGATAAAGAATGATTCTCCTTTTTGTTGATGGGACAAAGTTTGATGTTAGGTAGCTAAGTTGGGAAAAGGGAGTCTTGTCGATGTCTGGTGGGCTTTTGACCATATTCATTATCGTTTTTGCCTGCTTTGTGTGATTGGAGAACAAAGGTTTATTAGTCGAGTGTTTCAATTACGGGTTGATATCAGATAAGATAATTTTGGTGCATATTTTCCTCAACATTTTTTGTGAAATGGTGGGCAGATTTGAACTCGTACCCCTCCTTTAGTTATACTGACGTAGGCGTGTGTCCATGGGTGGCGCTGATCGCTTACCATCAGGTGATCCGGTTGGTGGTTTGCCTCCTATTCCATAAAAAAACCATTCCAAACACCAATTTGCCGTGACCGTGACATTAGCAAACAATTAAATAGACACAATACTTATTACCTATCTGAATATCACAACCAAGAGAGGACCAAAGAAAGTTGACTAAAATTTTATTTGTCCAGGAACCTTCTCGAACGTGAAAAACTCCAGGCTCAAGTGTCGGATTTGACTTCGAAAGTGCAGCAACAAAATGAGATGATCACCATGCTGCAGCGGCGCATAGCTCTTGAGGCGAAGAACTTTAGGCATCAACTGCAGAACGAGATCAACAAGCACAAGGACACGAGACACGACCTGGACCTCGCCATCAATAATGCTGACAAACTTACTACTATTATTGAGGTAAGTTAAAGATTTGTCAACTAATTGATGGCCTTGAAATGAGATTGTCATTGTTTGTATCTGGCCCCAAAACTGCGAATTGAGCATTTGCCAAATAATCAAATTTAATACTTTTTTCGAACTGTCGAAAACGACAGTTTTGTGAATTTTGTACGAGATTGTGAATTGTGACGTCACGTTTTTTAAGCGTCAATCAGCATACTTATTTCTGAATGAATGAAAGTGTGATTTTTTAATACTTTCTTGTATTGAAGAGTCGAAGTAATTTATTTTTGATTAAGGAATGTATCCGATTTTCCAAACAGTGTTCCTTAAGCCATCCACCAAACATGTGAATTGTAGCTTCTTAATTCTCCTCCTTAATTTTTTAACTGACCGTTGAGACATCGGATGTTCAGAAATGCAGAACAGGTCATTATAGAGATCATGATCTCTTCAAATCCTGACATTCTTAACAATTATTATTTTGAAAAACTACTATTATACCAATGTCTTGTATAGTCTAGCGTCAAGTCTCTTATTTTCTAAAAGGCTAGGTTGCAATGCTAGAGGGCAACAAGACAACTCGTTAAATGACTTAAAATGTGTGTAGTCCATACATCTTAAAAGAAGAAGATACCGAACCCTTGGAAAATATAGAAACAAAAACATGGACTTTTCATGCGCTTCCTGAGAGATATAATAGTGTTAGTAAATAATATCTGAAAAGCGAAATTACTGGAGTGTAACAGATATATTTAATTCATTATTTTGTTCCTTAAAATACCGTGAATATGTATCTCGACATGTGTTGTTCTCGGCACAATGTTCGTGGAATCATTTCCTGTCGTATAATGTAATTATTCATTTCAGTGTAACTAATTAAAATGTTCATAACATTGTTCTTGTTCCGTGTTTCGCTTGTTCATTGTTTGTTGTGAATTTCTTGTTTATGAACATCGTTCTTTCCTTGTTACCATTTCTCGTTCATTATTTTTCATTCAAATACTCGTCAGGGTAGGAATGTTGTTTGAAGTATTGGCTTGCTTATTTTAATCGATAACTGAGACATAGTTTCATTGTTAGTTTGAAAACATTAAAAAAATCCATATTAATGTCGGTAACATTGTATAGTAATGATAAGGGATTAACAATTGAGCAACATTCGCACTCCCGCTAACCCGCAAAAAATTCAGCTAGGCAATAGCCTTACATCTTACAGAATAGGTACTGTAAGATGACAATACGAATTTACGAGGTGAGCTTGATCGCATTGTCGAGATTATTCTCACAACCAATGACATGGCGGACCGCCATCGAGCTTACCTCGATCTTTCGAATTGAAAGTTGCAGCATAGTCTAACAGGTCAGATAAATTGTATTCTCGAATTAACCCCATCGTAGGTAAGATAAAATTTAGATCTAAACGCAATACAATACATTTTTTATTGCGTTTCATACAACAGCATAGGTATGGTTGTCTAAGAACCACCTAGGTACATAATAACTACTTTGGTTATCAGATGAAAGAGAAGATGCTAAGTACAGCAGCGAGTAGATCGATCAAGTCTCCAGTGAAGACTGCGTCAGGGACCAGCATATCTCTACCCAAGCAGTCAGTTAAGACGAGGTCGGAGACTGACACCAGTGCGACTAGAGGCAGAGACGAGAGAAGAGAAGACAGGCAGATTGTAAGTAGTTGGTTAACTTGGAATTATGTTATTGTACAAACATTCATCACACTAATATTATAAATGTGAAAGTTGAATTGTTTTGATGTTTGTCCTTCAATCACGTTGAAACTACTGAACGGATTTTGATTTTTTTTATGGCATAAGCCGATAAACGTGCAGACGGATCACCTGATGGTAAGCAATCGGGGTTGGCCGTGGACACCTGGAACACCAGAGGCGTTACAAGTGCGTTATCGGCCTTTTGGGGATTAGGAGTTTGAAGATCGTTGGAGATTCAGGAATTGGAGAGATTGGGGAAGGGGAGGGTAATTGGGCCTTCGGTAACCTCATTCACACGACGAAACACAACGCAAGCGTTGCTTCACGTCGGTTTTCTGTGAGGCCGTGGTATCACTCCGGTCGAGCCGGCCCATTCGTGCCGAAGTATGGCTCTCCCACACGTATACAGATAGGGTATAACTATAGACTGACTCTGACTTAGGTGATAGGATAATTTTTATGACGATTAAATGCTACCATGGGATAAATAGGAATCATTTTCGACGCGGACGAAGTCGCGGGCAACAGCTGGTCTTCAATAAGCTGTCTAGGTATTCGTAGAATAGCTTACTGGGGTGAGAGGAAAGGCAGTTAATTTTTTTCCATCTCCAGTAAGTACTTGTATATCTACATTATATGGATTGATCATATTTATTATATTGCTTTTGTTGTCCCATAAAAGCTTTTAATAAATGTAACTGGCAGAAATATACACAAAAGGGTCAAGTTTAAAAAAAAAATATTGCTTAGATATTTGCGTAGCCTTTTACGCATTGTTAGAAGGTTTTATCAATCTTCTGATTATTGAATGATTTCAATGAAGAAAGTGGGATTACTGTGTTTTATGAATAACACCGACTGTTTTTAAATAAAGGTCTAAAGCTTGTCGATTTAAGGCTAAAGCTTAAATTTTTGTTAGACTTTTATTCTGAAAGGAATATTTAAAATGTAAGTTGTATTTCTTATGAATTTTTATGAACGACTGCCGCGTTGGTCGAGTGGTCGCAAATGCGACTGCTGGATAACGGGTCTCGGGTTCGATTCCTGGGTCGGGCAAAGTATTACTGGGTTTTTAAAAGTAGTAGCACGGAGTCTGGAATTGAGCCCGGTATATGGCAATAGGCTAACCCCCTACTACATGGGACTAAACACATAACTAGTGAAAAGTGAGTGTTACATTGTACCTACAGTGGCATTCAGTGCCGTAATGTGCACCTCTGCCTACCTATTCGGGGATAAAAGGTGTGATGTTTATTATTTTTTAAGAAACGGAATGGACAAGGTGTATGTCGTTGGAGATTGTGTGATATTTTATTAAATTCATTTTCATTAGGATAAGTTTAGGCCTAACAATAAAATAGAAGAAACGTTTTCATATTTCCATGCATAGAATTATACTAGAGTGGATATTTGAGCTGCAAATATAATAATCCTTGTTAGTTTAGACCCAGATTTTAGTATTTGTATTGAGATTACGTTGACAAAATCTGTCTCGTCCAATTTACGAATGCGTACATAAATGTTTGCGCGTATTATTTCCCCGGAGAATCCTTTTGTTCAGAGGACACCATTGTTCAATTCTATACGAAACGTGTATCTATTGTCTTTTCTGCTACTTGGATATTTATTTATATAGCCAACGGAGCCAATGTGACATTCAAGTAGCTGTTAGACCATTTATAATCAAAAGATTTAACAATGTTTGTATTTCAGGTAGACCAAAACATAATGGCGAAATTATGTGAGAACTCTCGCAGTATCAGCAGTGCACTGTCTCATGACGAAGAATCGTCGTCTTCCACTGAACCTCGCTCTCGATATGCAAGAAGTAGAACCAGCTCCTCCCTTTCAAGATCTACTCCTAACCCCGGAACTAGAAAGAGCTCGAAAGAATCAGATGAAATTATGGAGTTGGCTAAAACAGTACAAGACGGAATGGCAGACCTCACCATATTTGACGACGATCTAGATTTAAAATCCTCCCCCGACGAACTGCAGATGAAAATGGAAGCTATGAAGACAGATCTTATGAAAAAAATAAAGAATAGTGACGAACCTTCGTCTAGAAAGACGAGCGCTTTGAGAAGGAAATCAACAGAAGAATCTATAGAAGAACAAGAGGAGTTAGAAGATACGGAGCGACCCAAGTCGAGAGGTAGGAGAAACTCTAATGTATCCTTCTTTGAACAGGCAGCCATTGAAGATTCTAACACAACAGTAGCTGTACATCAAGGAGAGATGGAAGTGAAAATGAAACGTGAAAATAGTTCATTGGAACGAAAACTACCCAGCAAGCCTTTAGAAAAATATTGCAAAGATATCATTCAAGACATAGAGAAAAGCAGCAAAGTCATAGACAAACATATGAAATATTTCAACCAATCGAGATTTGAGAGTGATAAATTAGTGCAACAACTAGAAGCCGTCGATAAAATTAATGAATTTGTTAACGCGAACGTAGAAATTCCTGAGTCAGCTTTAAATGAATTGAACAATAACTTCAAAATGTTGACGGATCAAGTATTTACCGATGTTGTTCCCATGGGAAGGAAGCGATCTATATCGGGTAGACGAAACTCCAGGACGAATCTACTCGGTGACAACATGACCAATCAGGAGATGTTAGACGACCTACTGGGGAAGAAATGATATACGGCCTTAGAAACTAAACTATTAAATTCCGACTGACATTAAATGCGGCGAATCTTGCTCGTTTTTACATAGAAAAATGACTTGCCTTGCCGAGAGATTCGCTTCAAAGTAATTGGGTAGTTCAGTCAACGGCCGACGTTCATTAGGCTAAACCAACATTTTTCACTTAATTAACTTGAGTTTTTATTCTGAACAGAACCGTCGCTTTTCATAGTAAATTGAAGGTCTCTTGTGATTGTAATTAGAAAACAACTTTGTTGAGGGATTAGACAACGGATTTGTATAAGTAAATTTCGTAGAAGTTCTACCAACTATGAACCCAATAATGTTACATAAACGTCTCTAATTAAATTAACCGGTCACGTAACAGTTTAACTGCAAATGATGGAATTAATTGGCCGTGGCAAACTTTAGCTACGCGTAACTTTTATTCTACATTTTTGACTAATCGTTTTTGTTTCAGTACTTATCAAATTAGATCATAACTTCGCAATTGGTCTTTTTGAGAAATTGCTGTTATTTTTGCAGATATTTTTTGTACGAAGCTACGCCTGAGTAGGGAAATTGTTTCCTAAAAGAACTTTTAGATAGTAGGTACAATGCTACGTAAAGCGTTTAATCGAAACAAAAGCTTTAGTAACAGTTAGAAGGAGTTTTCCACTTAAATACTTGGGTCTAGAAACTAGATAACGCTAGTAATCTCTTAAATAATAAATGAAATTTGTAATTTAACTTAAAAGTACAATACCTAATTTCGGGAAACCGTTTCCCCGGCTAATTCCGTTGAAAGTTTTAAAACATTAAATGTCACTTGGAAAACCAAATTAAGGAGTTTGTAGATATTAGAAAACTTGAGACAGCCTAGATACTTGTAAACACAATAATTAATATTTTAGAACCAGAAATTAAATCTAGGAATTATTAATATTTTGAAACGGTAAGGTGAGTTTGCTTCAAGCATTTATTTTTTCTTATTCGATTAGAAATGGGTTCACTTGTCAGAACAAATCGGGAATATGCATTGCATTAAAGACGATTTAATTCCTTTAAACGATTGCAATATATTATTTTTATTTCCTTTTATTGGAATCTTGGTTAAAAATAAAAAGATAAATCATGGTGTAGGTTCAATGAATAGTTTGATTGCAGAAGCGAGTACTTATAAAGTTATAATTATTGATCGAGGCAAATTGTTTGTAAAAATCGTGGGCTTTGTAGCGACCACATTTAATAAGAGTAATGGGTAATATCAATAAACTGTCTGCAGGTAAAGGGACACATTTGATTAACCGACTTCAAAACAGCAGCTGTAGCCAAATGCCATTTAACTACGTATAGAATAGAAAACCAAATTAAATGGAATTGACGTAAATTTTGACACTTGTCAGTGTCATCTCCATACATTTTGATTTCTACTCTCTCTGTAGACAAGCGCTAAAGTGGCGTTTGGCTAAAGGCACTGGGCTGCCCAAGTGTTTTTGTCCGCGATGATCTCACTACTGGCTACACCGGCTTATATTGGTGCGATTTTTAGAAAAGTATTCGTTACACTAATTAGGAGGATGGTTGGTATTTTAACCACCTTCAAATTTGTTCCTATACTCGGAATTTTAATTCGATTCCAGATTTGACAATTTCAGTGTTGCAACGTTATGACAAGTACTAAATAGTGACGTTGCGAAATTATTCGATATGGAAATGGAATATTTCTGGATCGATTCTTCTCGTTTACAATTTTACACTCGTAAACTAAGTATATCAGGAAATTAAATATTTCTGAACCGATAATTTAGTTTTGACGATTAATTAACGATCTGAGACTTTTTTTATAATTGTGTGTGAAATAAATAAAAAATATAATAATGAAGGTACATGACAAATAAAACAGATAGATGTATTATGGTAATAATTTATTTTATAATGTCGCCGTCATCGCTATCGCTATCATGTCACTTTCCGTAACATTTATTATAAAACACACACACTGATTGTTTATCGATTTTTGTGTTCATCACTACAATATTATATGTGGTATCATTATTTCACAAAATGACCGTAGCTAATGTCAAATCTGGAATCTAATTAAAATTCTGACTATAGTTTCAACCTTTGTATTTGGGTATATAGTTGTCCGCGACTATTTATTGAACTCATGTTAAAATTATTTAATTATATCAACAGATAGTTCATTGAGATTACTGTGTTAATTATGATAACTGTGTACCTACTAAAAATGTCTGTCGAAAAATAATAAATACACCATGTATGTACACTATGTGTGTGTATACCTCTAAAGGTACGATCTCTCTTTTCAAGAAAAGATGATGAAGTGTATTTATAGAGTATATTAGAGTTACGTGTGATTGTTTCGTGTGAGTTTTGTATATCGATGTATATCCGAGCTCTTTATATTAATTGTTATTCAATATGACCACATGATTGAATGATGAATAAATATTTTATTTTTGAGTACTGGTGAGTTTATTTTCTTATCTTCCTATTTTGATTTTTTTTTTTTTTTTTTTATAAAAAAATAAGAATATATAAGCCGGTAAACGAGCAGACGGATCACCTGATGGTAAGCAATCGGCGTCGCCCATGGACACCTAGAACACCAGAGGCGTTACAAGTGCGTCACCGGCTTTTTGGGGATTAGGAGTTTGAGGATCGTTGGGGATTCAGGGATTGGGGATCCTATTTTGATTGTGTTTGGAGAGTTAAATAAATGATTTTGGGTGATTAGGTCTTTGGATATTTTTAAGTCATTTATTATAAGTAGCTGACCTTATACTTACATTTACGCTAATGCTATTAACTAATATATAGATGAAAAGCACGTCCTATTTGGATTTAATAATTTCCAATTACACAAACTTCACTGAATTTTAAGTCGCCCTTAAGTATAGTTCTATCTCTACAAATTCTTTGTAAATCGACAGAGATATTTTTTTAAGGGGGGAAAATCATCGAATGACTGTTCCCACCTGGGTGAGGCGGGAGGGATTGTCAGACTCTTAATGACTAAAAACCACCCCGTTCCTACTCCTGCACATCGAGCCGGAGCCCCGGTTACCCGTTAGGTTCTCCGCGACAAAACGACAGAGATAGCACGATATTTAAATACAAATTGAAATCGAGTAGCCTTTCAGTATTAGGACATACCTATGTGAAGCGGCTATTTTTAATTGCAAATGATATGACTTTTGACAACACTTTTGAAAGTAATATTTTTAGCAACAACACCCGAAATACAATCAGTTGTAGAAATAGGTATTTATTTCTCGTTCTCTGAGTGCCTTCCGTTGATCTTATCAATTTTATATTTTTACTTGTCCGAACTTGGATTGTGAACAGAAAGGATAATTCAATAAAAGTCGGCACTTTCGGCGTAAAATCAATGTTGGCCCTTACTTAAACAATCGAACGCAGCCGGTTTTGACCAGCCTCTCCTAAATTTAAAGAAACCCCTAAATTAACTCGTCGAGTACCGGTTTTGTAGACACAATTATAGAACAATAGGTTGCGGTCACCGGTGACCGCTCGGTGTTTGACAGTTTAAGGGACATTTTATAGAGTCAAATAAGTTTTAGGTGCTTCCTTACGCTAGGTAACTTTTAGTTAAGTGACAATGGGTTATTAGTAAACCGATAAGTTATTTCAACTATGAACTAACTTTCCTAATGCCGGAATACTAAAACGTTATTCAATTTTAAGTCGTGCTCAAACATCGCGCCATCTCTGTCATTTTACAAAGAATTTGTAGAGACAGAACTATTCTTAAGCGTGACTTAATATTGAGTAGCGTTTGAGTATTCCGACATAAGACTCATAGTTGAAATGAAACTGATTCTATAGTTTCAATCTATTAGGTCCAATTTCTAAAATTGTGTTCAGTCATCACCATTTTACTTAGGTACCTAAGCTTTTGTTATAATTTAATCGATAGTACAATAACTATTATTAAAGTTGTAAACTATTATCCCAGGCTCAATCACGAAAACTACTTTCAACAAGGATTTAGAAATTCCATTGGTATGAACTGAAAGGTCTGAAGTACTTGAAATAACAATAGTCCGCCTGAAATCGTAATGGAAAAAGGTTTCAGATTTCAATACACCCTTTGAATGTATGCTTACTTTCGTAAAAAAATGACTAATGTGTTAGTTTTGTTATAATATTTGATTTAAGAGCGCAAGTGGTATACAATTTGCATAATCGAGTGCTAATGTATTTGTAAAGTAAGTTTGCTATAGAAACTTGATATAAAACAAACGATATAAAAAAAAATCTTGTAGGCATTAAACTGTCAAACACCAAGCGGTCACCGGTGACCGCAACCTATTGTTCTATAATTGTGTCTACAAAACCGGTACTCGACGAGTTAATAGCGCTTGCTAAATGCTGTAAAATTGTGTAATTTAATTTCAAATAAACTTAGTAATCAGGCATTTGGAAAAACATGTATCTAGAATGTTTAGCCATCACATAGGTAGGTAACACATGGTACCTAGGATTTTTTTTATCTATCATATCGACCAACCAAGAAACACTGGTGTCAATAAGTAGGTCCTTTAAATTACACCGACTGCTCAATCTAGAGAATTGATTTAAAAAATTGTGTCCCTTTATCATGTTAGGTACATGATACAATTATTTCATTTTTAGCGATAAACATCGTCTGCATCTGAAATTCGGCACCTCTTCGAGTGAAAGTATTCCTATCAGATACCTATCATTTTCCATATTCCTATCAGATACTTAATCCCAGGGAAGGAAAGCTAGAATAAAACAAAAAATCGGCATTGTGTGTTTATTTGAGGAAGCATACATTGTGGGGAATGAGGTCGCTCAGTGCAGTTTACCGTTTGGCCTAGCTGTAATGAGCGGCTGCTTAGTTAAGGAAATTGAGACGGATTTATAGTCGCGCCTCATATGAAAAATTGATATAATAGTTTAAAACGAGACCACGATAGTTATCATCAGATATCCTGAGTGCCTAGCACGAAGAACTAATGGTATCGAGACATCGAAACGTCTTGTGACGAAAACGGAATGTCGCAGCACGAAGCCTATAGCCTATAGTCAATTACAAGTTGCAGTTAAAAAAATTAGGTGAAAGCTATGGATGTTTTGTTAAATTTTAAAACATTTGGTATTATTACCATCGTCCTATTATTGATAATTTGTTATTTTTATTTGTGTTAATTGATTTAAAATTCACATATTCTAAAACTACACTCTATAAACCACCACCATTTTCGCTGAGCTTACATTTAACCCAAAGGTTGACTGGGAGAAAATGCCATAATTATGGCATTAAGTCCGCCTTATGTACCTTATTTTGTGTGCATTAAAGTGTAAAATAAATAAATATAAACGACATAAACTCAACAAGGATTCCATAAGCAATATAAGGTTTCTTTAATAAATAAAA